CTACCCATACATTGCCAACTATTTGATACATCACTGCACCAGTATTCCTTCCAGCTTAGGATTCAAACTTCATAGAGAGCACTTATAGGAGATAAACTCAATGTTCCAGTGAAATTAAGCTGTCTACTAAATTCTGAGTAAATTGCCTTTTCATCCTGGAATCAGTCCGAGGTTTCAATGCTTTAAAGCACCCGAAGATGTTAAACTACATACGGAAATGGATTCACAGACTTGTGAAAAGCTACACTCTCTTCGTCCTCCCTCTCTGTTTGTCTGTTTGAGTCTAACTAATGGAGAGGCAGAAAAATGAGAGAAATGCAAGAGACAAGACAGCTGTATCGGATCCTCAATTAGGAACTACCACACACACAAACCAAGCTGTGTGGATAGTGATGCATGCGTGCTAACACACAGCTAAACGCAGATGGCACACATCATCCGCAAATATGCAAGATTCTCACGTATATTTGATGTACACAAAGACATCTTGAGGAGAAGTAGAAATGATGGCTGTGTGTGGATGGGAGAGGTGTTTTAGAGGACATCAAATGGTGAGAATCCATTGGCTGCTGACGTTGTTTCAGCAGGGAATGAAAACATGGATCTAAAGCTGTGAGGGCCCTCTGAGAACTGTCATTAACGCTTCAGTCAAACACACACTCAGAGCCACAGTATGCACACATTTTGTCAAGCCTGACACAAATGAGCACACTATGTTTTGTTCTAGCATACCTGCTAAAGTCTAAGCAGTTGAGAAAATGCTCCAATTTTGGCAATCATATCTAACTGGAAAGCATTTCTTTCTGTATGGATTCTAAGAATATAGCCAACTAAAAAGTGTCTACAATTGGATGACTTCCTCAGAGAACTGTCATGCTGAAGGCCATCCGTCAGCCATGGCCTGTAGCAGCACAGCAATCTCGGATCTCATGACTGACAAGGCATCATTTTTTGGCTCTGTAATGTTTGATGAAGCCAAAGAAGACTTTGATACTAAAGAATTTCAAGATAGCAAAATAAATATCTTAGAGTACAGATAAGAATACACACTGGACTAGCCAAAACCAGTTAAAAAGAAAAATCTTTGGACATAGATTTTCTCTATATTTCACTCCAGGAGCTATTTCAATGATTTTTCTTGGGGGAACATTTAAAGTAATGGAATGAGGACACGCTGACCCAAACCATCTGTCTCCAGTTCTCAGTTATTGGTATGTTTTATGTATTCTAGCAGGTTTTATGAGCAGCTCACCTTACTGACTTTAGGTGAAATGCAGGTTGATGTTATTTCAAGTCACTCCTGGTGACTGCCAGAACCCAGGAAAAAGTTCCAGTTGGGTTTAGAACAGGACATTCTGCACTCCTCTCAGAACTTATTTCATCTGCTCTTCAGCCATATTACTTCATCACTTGATCTATTATCAATACTTTATTCAATTTCCCTTCTCAACCGCAGACCTTCATTGTTGTGTGGATCAGAAAGGGTATTTATCACTGAATCAAGTCCAGAATGACACACCATTTTGGATGGTTTTGTGTTGTTGTAATTTTCCTAAGGCTGTGGGTTGATCCCCTTTTCCAAAGTGAAATGTCTGAAGGTTTGTACAAATTAATTTGATTATAACAAAAAGACTTTGGGATTTGTAAAATCAGACCACTCCAGATGTGTTTTTCCTTTTTGTCTTACTTTTTTTTTTCTCGTTTGCAGATATATATATATATTTTAGCAGAAAAAGCAAAGTAACAAAATAGGAATATTACATTGAATAACTGACTTTAGGAACATACAATACCAGAAAAAAGGATTGATTTTTCATCTTTCTTCAATGTTACAAGCTTAAGTCTATTTTATTGTCCCCAGAAAACATAGACTGATTATGAAGAGGAAAAGAAATTGAATTATATTTAAATATTTTTTTTCCACTATCAAAAATCTGAAATCGTATTGACCTTCAACACCCTTAACACGGATACCCCTACATTAAGTCCAGTCAAAAATTTGTAGCCCAAAACTATCAGGACACAAGAGTTTATTTTGCCACAGAATATTCATACTCGATGAAAGCCTCAGAGGTCGATGTCAGCACCTCTGTATCACTCAAGATCAATTTCGAGCAACACATTGGTCGAGCCGGGCACAGGGCAGGCAGAGAGCTGAAAGTAGAGGAGCAGACAGAAAGAAGCTCATGGTGATCTCTGGCACTTTTCGGTAAGACTACATGAGGGGAGTGTGGTGCAATGGGATGTAACTGCCTTACTAGGTTAATCTATAGAGTAAATGCAACAAGTGAACAGGAGTGACATGTTAAACTACTTAAGCCATCAGAGCTTAACTGAATGACTATAATGTTAGGTTCAACAGATATATGAGAGGCATCTCTGCTTTTACAACATAATAACACCCATCGAAATCTTGTCCAGTCACAGTACAGCAGTCGAACACACCATGTGCCCAGATCTTGTGTAGAGCACAGGTAGTGAGACCCCCCCAGATAGGAGCGATAGAGGAAAAAGTCATCATATTCTGCTGGAGCTAGAAAAAAATGTCTCAGTTCTGAAGTAGTATGTATTTGTCTTTATAACTACAAGCTAGTCAGAGAGGTCCCAATCACAGAATATTTAACTCAAGTGGAAAAAACGGTTAATCTGACAAACCTTTTGTCATGTACTGTCATGAAATATTGGCAAAAAGAAAGCAAATATTGAAAGATATGGTTCAAATTATATTTTGCCACAAATTATGTTGGGGGTATAGGAAACATTCAAGTAGTCAAAATGGCCTTTTTTTTTTCTTTTTCACTATGTAAAAAATGTGCATACCAAGGTTTAATGGATGCTCTATGTAAATAGTAAATAGCCTGCACTTGTATAGCTTGTCCTTCAAGTCAGGAGACTAGACCAAAGCACTTTACACTGCAACCCATTCACACATGCACAAGTTACAGTACAGCTCACAAGTCACCTTGTAGCCACAGCTGCCCTGGGGCTGACTGACAGAGATTTGAACCAACAACCCTTCGGCTGCAAGGCTAACTCCTGTGTCCAATGCCACTGCTGCCTCATTTAGAAGGGACATTAAATTTTGACAGAGTTAATTGAAAGATTGAGCTTCATACAGTACCTAGACTGAGGTTGAGGTACTATATCTAAAAACAGGAAGGATGAAACATTTCTGCATCTAGATTTGTTTTAAGCTGGTTAAGACAAGACCAAAATACAGAAGTGGTAGTAGAATTGAAAGATGGATCAAGAACACATTCTCATATTTATATTTGTGAAAAAACATGCAGAATTTTCTCTGCAATTTATAATTATTAATTAATTTATGTTGGTTTTACACAAAAAAAGGTTTTCTTAATACCAGAGATTGTCGTGATGCATGACAAAAAGTTAAAATGTTTAAAGTATGGATCCGATGCAATATTGACGTCGGAAATCAGGTGGCAATATCGGTCAAAACAAAAAACAAAAATGAGTAGTTGAATATATAAACTACAAAAAAGGCATGCTAATGTAAACACTGCTTCAATTTACTTCTGTTTAAAGTTGATGTAAACAATTGGTTTATAATACATTATTCAGTTATTCTAGTCTATACCTATTTTGTTGACTATTGTTCTTTGAGTGTTATAACTAGATAAAGCTTTTCCTAAAATGCCTCATTACAAATTATTTTAACAAAAATAGTGGTCTTGGTATTGCCATAGTGTTCCTGATGGTACTCGGGTCTTGTGTGCAGTCATTTGTGTTACTGATCCCCAAACTGCGGTCTATGTTATGAACCACTGATAATCTTTTTCTTCTCTTTCAGTTACACAAAATTAACTGGAACTATAAACTCTTCAAAATCAGTGGATCTGTAAACAGACCATGGTATTCCCAAGTGCCTAAGACTGAGGGTTGTTAATTTAAAAAATTTGACTTCTAAATAGCTGTGATTTTTTGGTCTGCCAAATTTGAGATTTTAACTGCTCATCTCCCATGTTGTATCTGATTAAAGCTTTTTGAAGCTTTTATTCTATCTTTATCTGGAAAGTCTCCTGTCCCAGAAGGATTTGATCCGAGGCTGTCAGGCAAGATAGTCTAAATTTTTCTCTCTGACAGAAGCCGTTGGCTGACAGAGAAACTCTTGGTGGTGACAACTAAATGATCTCTTCTTTATTAAACACCTCATGCTATCTTTCCATCTCTCCCTGACTACTGCACTTCCCACTCGCCTTTAGTATCTCATTTTATCATTTGACTGACTACTCTCCCTCTCCTTCCCTATTTCTCATTCCTCAGTCTCTCTCTCCTGTCTTGCTTTTCTCCGCAGCTCTTCTTGGATCCTCTTCTGTTGCATCTTTATTGAATCGTTTCTATCTGCCCATTTCCCCCACCCCCTTTCTTCTAAAAGCTCCAGCTTAGGGAGGGAATATACTTCCCTCCCTAAGCTGGAGCTATCAGCCAGTCAGCAGCTTGTCAGCCTGTCAGGCTATTTGACAGCCAACTAGTCAGTTATTGTGCAATTTTGTAAACACATTAATTAAGAATGTCTCATCCACAAAGCAAGAAAGTGATCCCAGCTGATCTCAGTCATTCAAGAATTATGTGCTGCTATTTTTCCAACCCCCACTTTATGTCTTTATCTTTTCTCTTCTTACCTGCTTCAGGTTGTGTCTCTTTTTCTATTTTGAGTACAAGTGGCCTGAGAATGGAGACTTGAGGTTCCTAACATGTGATCCTCGGTTGAATTAACAACTTACAGTCAAATGACACAATAAAGTTCTGTCCAAATAAACAATCAAGATTTTGTGATCAGCTATAACAAATGCAGCTCTCAACGTTGTGATGGTGTTTTGCTACAGAGAGGGGGTGTTGGAACTCTCAAAATAAATGGTATAATGAGAAAAAAACAAGTGGAGGACAGGAGTTTAAAAGAAGTTAAATAGTTGATCAAAATATGTAATATTAATATGAATATATAATTAATTTACTGTTTTGGTTGTTTTTTTTTATAGATATGGGAAGATTGTATCAACAAAGGCCATCTTGGACAAAAACACTAACCAGTGCAAAGGTGAGTGAGAATCAGTTATTATTATATATAGCCTCGAACATGCCTGAAAAACAGGAATGCTTATACTGGAATTGAGCCTGTATAAAAATCAATAAAAATGCAGTTCCTGTGGCAGCTTAAAGGCAAACTAATCAATGTGTTTTTCTGGGAAGGTATTTTTTCTTTCATTATTTCCTTCCGTTGCTCTTTTTGCATCTATAATCAATCAAGGCTTAAACATTGTTAGTAAAAGAAAATACTGTCTGTGTTTTTAGATTCAAGTTCTGTTCCAGGGAAAGTTAGAAATTTAATCCATTTACAGCAATCCGGATAGCCATAAAGTCTTTGTAAGCCACTAATCTGAACAATGAACTAAAAAATATATTACTTGATTAAAGCCAGAGTGGGTGATTTAAGGTCTGCTGCCTCATGATGTTAAGAGTTAAGCACTGTTTCAAAGGAGGATGTGGGTATTGTTGTAACAGGCCAAATCAAAATGAAGAACATATAATAGCCACAATGTGTTTTCAATAGTCAGTGAGGTTCACATAAGTGTCTTTTGAGAACTGTCTGCCTGATTGTTAAAGTGGTCTGAACAAAGCACTAATCAGAGTGATTGTTATCATCTGCTTTTGAAGAGACACACATATGCATGTTTTTCAGCATGATTATGGTTTATCTGCCAGGCTGTTCTCAGAAGTATATCAATCTGCTTTAGGACAACAACACAAATATCCTATAATCAGAAAGTTGGTTTTCAGCTTCAGGATCTGAGGAAATGAGATCCTGTCAGTCCTTCTGATGGGATTTTTAAATTCTTGTAGTTTGGGGGGATTCCTATTTCCTAGAATCATCCTTACCCTTACCCCATTCCTTAATGTTTATTTTAGGTAATTTCTTTTTTTATTTATTTTATATTTCTTAATAAAAATGAGTCACTACTTTAAGATGATCGGCCACCAGCTTTTACTGCTATATGAACATACAGGTGCATCTCCAAAAATCTAATTAACATTTAAGTTAGGTAATTTCTGAAATTCAGCTTAAAAAAAAAAAGAAACTTGTTCGATATAAATCTATTACGAAGTTTTACATTTCAAACTATTCATTTGCTAATTTGGATGTATATAATCAAGTCTTGGTTGGTTGTATTAATGAAACGTGGCATGGATTAGATCAGACTACAGCTATACTGATGTACTAAGGAAATCTGTTTTACTTTGATATCGTCCTTCTGATACCACATAGATTATCTGTGATACTCAGGTTTTGCATGTTTAATTTTTAAAAAGACTAAGGCAAACCATGTTAATTGCTGGTATTGCTGGTATTGGTAACTTTCGCACTTTACGCAGGTGTCAAGTCTTTGGGAATTTTGATTAGCATGTCCATTAAGCTTTTCAACAAAGCAAAGCATGTTGTAAACACTAATGTCTGGTAAAAAAAAAGAGAAAAAAAAATAGAATAGAAAAGAAAAAAAAAATGAATTCTGTACCTCTTTACTATCCCTCCAGATTCCAAAAACCTTGTTGTCAAAATGAGATACAAAATTAACGTTTTTTTCCTGAGGAGCACTTCAGGCCCCTTAGCAACGGCTGAGTATATCTTTTTTTCTGACCAAAGTAAGATGCTTCTGTCCTTGTCATTGGTTCAGGAGGGGCTGAACCAGGGATTTTAAAAGCTGTCTCTTCCCACTTGAAACATCTCTGTTTTGTGGCGTTTGAAGCTTTTGTCCATGGCTTGTAAATCTAAGCCAGACTTTTGAATAGGCTTATCCCTATTTCCTAAACTCCTTTTTAAAGGTACACTATGCAACCGGTGTTGATTTTCCAGTGAGGCTCCCTCCAGAGGGCGAAAGTAAAAGTGCACTGTCGTAAATATGCTCAGCTGTTCTCCTGGTTTCTCCGTCAAGCCAGGCGCGGTTGTTTTGAGCT